TTCAAAACAACACGTCACCCCTTGAGCTATCATCTCGAGCTCACATCTGCTGGAGCTTGTCGAGTCATGTTTCTGAAATTGACCGTTTGCGCACTCTTCTGCGGCGAGCGACGCACCTGCACTTTTTCTTTTGAAGCCCCAGCTGTTGCCAATGGCCAGGTGAGGGAGCAGGCCGGGCTGCAGGGGCTGGGCACCCCTTTGAATCACAAAAACAATTGTCTCAACAGCTGGGGTTGTGGCCTTGTGGGAGGGGGCCTGTGGCCTAATTGAGAACCCAGGAGGGCGAGCGCCGCCACCTTTCTTGGCCGCCTTGTTCGGTTTCCAGCAGTTTTTGAACCAAGTGTGCACTTTCCTGATCGCAGCCCTTTTGTTCGCCAAGACAAATCACGGTTTCGCCCCAGTGATCCTTTTTACCGTTGTAGACGAGTTGTAGACGACTGTGCAGCTGGCACGCGCTCGCAGGCACGCGCTTCAAGGGGGAGTTGGAGGTGGAGCTTGGCTCCCAGGAGCACGAGGACATGCAGGCCATGCAGGCGCGTGGAAAACGAATCGGATGGACTCGATGGGTGAGAGCCATCTGGTGATGAATTTGTAGGTTGGACATTGGAACCCTGCAATCTTTTATTTATTGGGAACCCAGATGGCCCATGTATGTACATGTGCATGTTCGTTTATTTGTACCCCCTATGTATTTAGCACAAACCTTGTTTAGCTTTGCCACACAGACGTTGCCCGTGTTGTTTAGAGGGTCCTGTTGTAAAGCTGGCACCAGCGACATTTAGGGGGTCTCGAATTTGGACATACACACAGATAAGGTGCAAGGTGGGTTAAAAGGGAGTCTTCTACAGGGAAACCACCCATTATGGCGCGCACACACGCAAAAAACAAAAAAACATGCACGACAGGCTTCTCCGTGTTGAACGCAAGCATGTTGAAACACAAATTGCGGCCAGTCTTTGTTTCTGTTTGTTTAATGCGACCTGCAGTGGTCCGTTTCCATACGTCCTTTGTGAGAAGCCAGTAGCACGTGAGTTGGTAGAATTGAATTGGCCCTGCATATGGCCGGGCGACCATGTGGCCTTGGCTCTGGGGCTCTTACAAACGAGTGACCACCCTCAAAGGACAATCGTGTGGTCCAACACTGATTCAGAGCCATGGCAAAATGTGGCCATGGGAAAGCATGATATGACACTTTGTGCTCTTGCATGGCCCTAATGATTGCATCATGATTGCTAATGGTCTCTGTAATAGCCTCATGGGGGTTGGGGGGGAGGGAGCCCAAATAAGCCCATAAGGCCTTATGTGGGCTCCCGCCCCTCTCCCTCCCATGATAGCCATCGCGATGGCTCCCCTTACAGCTAGGTTGCACCGCGCAGGACACGTGTCACGACTTCGCCTCCATCCTTCTCCATCGGCTGAGCCGCAAGGTGCAACATCGACGGTTCAATCCGCAAGATTATTTTGCCAGATGTTAGCTGTAGTGGTGTCCCCCTAGGATCTCTTCTCTTTTTTTTTCAGATGGTGATGGCAAGTGTTTTTTCTTGTGGTTGGAGGGAATTGTAGTGGTATCCTATGTAAGTATCCTATTACTCATTGGGATCATGGATGATTTTGAGCAGCCCAGCCAGAGATGCATCCTCAAGTAATGCACTGGAGTGGATTGGCTCATCGAAGGGGGGGAACAGTTTACAGATGCTGAGGCATTGGCATGTCTTGCTTCGTCGTTGGCTGGTGGGGTTTCCTCGTGGTTAGGGCAGGTGAGCTCGATTGTTGCCGTGGATCGAACGGTCAGCCAGTTGCATTAGTGCTGTGGATAGCCCACGTGGCCCGTGGCCCGCAGGCGAACAGAGAAATCAGTGCCACGACTGCAGCTGGCGCATTGTCAGATGCCCCTGTCAACGATTCCAGCCCAGGTTCACCAGACCCAAGTCACAACAAACTACAGCGACACTCCAAACTTGCACATGCTGGTGCATTGTCTTTCCGTCATTTTCGATCAGATGTCCAACCCAGTACTTCTAGCTGGCACTATTGGCAACAAGGGAGAACAAGGGGAACCGTAGAGTAGTAGCTGAGCAATTGGAAAGTAGGCAAGGTAGTACCCAAATCCTTACGAACCTCTGTTCTTCCGGATCGCTTAGGCCGTGTGGATGCCGCGCGGGTGCTGAAGGCCTATGGCCGGTGCCTGGAATCCCTCGGCCAAGGAACTGCCACACGGCTCAATCTGGGCCATTTGGGGCTGGGAAATTCTTCCGAAGGGTTGGTGGTAGCTGGGGGTGTAAACCTCCTAAATGGATTTGGCTTACTAGTTTATAAGCCTGCTTATGACCACACACAGGCGGGAAACAAGTGTCGGTTGGTTTGGAGACATGGGGTGCCAACCCCAATTTTCAGTAAAACCCAGGGGCCCGCGCAATGGTCCAATGTCTTTTAATTTTGGCCGAGCCTCGTCTCAGACTAGGCGCTTCGGTCACATTGTCCAGTCTTCAGTTAATTTCCGCTTGGTACACGGGAGCGCCCGCATCATTTTCAATTGGATCGCCATTACCGGCAACTGCTTTTTTTGACAGGGGATTCTTAGAGGTTGCCATTAGGGTGCCCTCAATGGTTGGCTTCCTTTGGGTTCTTGAGGACACCCCCCAAAACATTAGTCCCAAGGCATGCGATATGACGTGGAGCATGTATCGATGCGTTATGTTCATTTGGTCGTTTTAAACAGGTACATGTGCATATGTGTGATACATATATATATATATATATATATTATATAACTGTGTGTGTGTGGTGTGTGTGTGTGGTGTGTGTGTGTGTTGTGTTGTGTTGTGTGTGTTTTGTGTGTTTTGTGTGTGTGTGTTGTGTTGTGTTGTGTTGTGTTGTGTTGTGTTGGGTTGGGTTGGGTTGGGTTGGGTTGGGTTGGGTTGGGTTGGGTTGGGTTGGGTTGTGTTGTGTTGTGTTGTGTGTGTGTGTGCGCGTATGCTGACGCTTATTTAAGTCGTTCGTCCAGCAGTTACCCTTGGACGACATGTGGGGTGTCAGGGTGTCCTGTGGTCCTTGGGCTCAAGCATGCCAGCCAAACACCCCACCCCTTCCCGAGGGGGGGAGTCACCACGATGTGCGACTAAGACTCTGATGGGCTGCCAGATGGGTGACGTGGCGCACGGAGGAGGAGAGGATGAGGCATTGTGTGAGGCTCGATGGTTTGTCGCCGGGTTTTGACCGTGTTTTTGGGGACTGATCATTCTTTCCGGTGTGTCCATTGTGATTTTGTGAATGGGTTTCCGTATTTCCATGCATTGTCCCCTCAGCATCGTAAATAGCCGAAGGCGTTTTGGCAGACTTGAACGCGGCAGGGGAGGCACTGTACATTCAACATCGCCTATCTTTCTGCCCTGCTAGTTCTTTGTTGGATGTTTTACTTCGCTTGTTGACCTTTGATGTACAGTAGGCCTCTGCACTTTCCCATGCGAAATTGATCCCCAGGAGAAAAACACCCATATTGTGTACAGCTGTTGGGCTGGCTCTGTTTTGACTCATGGACGGTTGACACACCAGGAAACAGGCAGAGGTCCGTTGAGAGGGGAGGGATTGCGGGACTGGCAACATGTTCAAATTGAGTGTTGCTTCGTTTCTGAGCCTGTGGCAACTTGAGATGCCAGAGTAGCATTAAAAACACCCTCCCGAACGTGGAGGTTGGCACATGCAAGACTCTCCAATATCCTCGTAGCCTTACCTGGGGCCCTGAGGTTGCTGGCAAGCTTCCACTTCCTATCCTCGCACTTTGGGCGGGTTGAAGTCATTCTCCGGAAGGACTGAATGAGGCTTATAGTGACCCTTCTTTCAAAAGTGTTTGTTCGACACATTCCTCAGACGCGCAGTGAAAGCCATTTTGGCGCAAAAACCATTTTTCCCATATTGCACGGCTCTTCTTAAAGAGCGCGGTTTGGCATAAGTACGTTTCCGTCGTGCTTTGCAAGGGGCTTTCTTCACGCTTCTCACAAAAGCATGTTTCCAACATGGACATTTGTGGCTGCCTTGAGCTTCACTCACTCATCACATGTTCAAGCAGGAACCCTCTCAAACCCCTTGTTTGAGTGCACTAGGTGTCATGTTCGTCATGGCTGTGTCACGACATTCTTATCTTTGGCTGCGCTTAAGGCCACCGCAACTTCAAAAGCCTGTGAAGTTTGAGGCAATCATTTAACAAGCCGTGGTGAAGCCGTTGAAAAACCTTTTTCAAGTGCTATTTGGCAGCATGGAAGGTGCGAAGTGTGTGCTCGAAAGAAAACAAGCGCAGCGAAAGGTGGAAGAAGGCGCAGAGGAGAACGCTTCGTCCTGGTTCTGAGCAGTGCGTTTCACTTCACTGCCTCGTCAGCTGCAGCGCTGGATCAAAACTGTGCAGCTCTGAGGGTGGCATTAGGCGTTAGATGTGGGGAGTGTTTCGCTTTTGAGCTGGACAATCACTCACTCACGAACATAGAAAATCAATTTCCTATGAACGCGGTGCGGCAACATGCAGCACCTTGCTAGCATCCAAATGGTGGACCCTCTGCGAACTTTGCACAGTTTTCGGCCTGAGCTTTGGACATTCCCCCATTGTCACGGCCAGAAACGAGTTGGTGTCAATTTTGCGAGCCCTCTGCGCGGGCAGTTTGCACACGCTCAGTCACAAACTCGTTGTTTTCCTATAGCTTAGTGAAGCCTTTGTGACACACACAGGGATTCTGGGACCTCAAAATGGCAAACCTGAACTTTCACCCGCCCACACCGGCGCAGTGAGTCATATATGTGACAAAGTGCAGGCAAGTGAGCCCTATGTACCGAGCTGCAAACGAGTTGTCCGACCCCACCTCCCAAAATGGCATGCTGTTACGTTTTTCCTGTTCAGGCGGAACTCAACAGGGAATGGATAGCTTGACCATTGTCCAGACCCTGTTCTCTGATTTTCGGGCTGTGTGTCTCCTTTCTTCCGAAGTCCGTCCGGCCTGGAGAATCTGATGCTTAGCCATCGGCTCAGCAGGCTTTTTCTGACTGATACAGATGCCAGCGCCGCTTTCGGCGGTGGCCCCCTCCATTTCACAGCCTCGCACTCGGAACAGAGATGCTGGGGTATGGTGCGGTTTCAGGCTGCCACTTTCTGTGACACCAAGGCCATCCTGTTTTAGAGTGATAATGGGCATCAACTATTTTGGTGGCACAAGGGCCCCACAACTATGCTGTTTCCAATGAACGGATTGAAAGGAGCGATTTGATCACCGTAGGCAGCCCAAACAGGTTTGTTTTTTGTTTTTTTTGTTTATGAACCCGTTTCTGAGGATCGACCGATGGGTTGGATGGGTTTCAAAGTGACACACAGCTCCTGCCCTTGGTGGGGGGGGGGTTCTGTCTCTTTCTGTGTATCAGGGGTACACATGAGAGAAGTGCAAGCCTCTTCATTGCTCAAAACGTGATCCTCTCAATAAAGGAGTTTTGCCCAGGTCTTGAACTTCAGCGATGCAGATCGCAGCCGCGGCCTAAGAGAGGTATCGTGTCCAATCCCTCGGATTTAGACTGGCCTCTCCTCCAGCATGATTGTATAGTTGTAGGCTAAACCTTCTTAAGCAGAGTAGGGACATGTTCTGTCTAGCTAGAGTGTACACCAGAATTGGGCCAAGTTGCTTGGAGGGTGCACCACCATGAGACCTTGTCAGCTAGCATCCTGTGGGGCTTGGATGTGCAACCTTGTTTTCATTTTACGGTGTGTCCATCCGGCCGGCGGGTGAGCGTTCCGAGGTTTTGCTGCTAAGTCGGGCGCTTGGACTTTAGGCAGAGCCAGGCACGCTGCGCCAATGTGCTGGCCGCAACTTGCTGCATTGGCACCTTTTTAGTGCCCAGCCCCAAGGCATTGCAGAAGCTTGGGCGCATAGCGCGGAGGCAGGCGACAATCCCACAATGACTTGGCCGCCGCTGTTTGGGCATAAAAATGGAGTTGATTAAGAACAGGAACAAGTGATTGGGTGTGCAAAATTTGTTTGTTTCGTGTTTCCGTTTTGGACAAAGCTTGTGCTCGGCGCTGAGGGCGGTGGACAGGTACACACAAGTGGCACCAGCAGAGCAAGCTTTGGCGCAGTTTTATGGGCACCCATTCTCTGATGTGACAGACTGCAATACCCATGGGCTCTTTGGTTGATCTAGAGGCCTCCTTGAGTGTCTTCCCAGCTCCGAGCCAGCAAAGCAAACGTACGTGCCTGAAGTGGCTGCCATGTGTGGTGGCTTGAGCCGTAGGTGCAAGCGGATGGCGGCATCTCTGGTGCAAGGCCCATGACTGAGCCTGTTGGAATATGTCCAGCCCAGTCGGGCCCCTTCATTTTGAGAGGTTTGCCCTTGATATTAACAGATTGTCCTGCTCCGTGCTGAACAATCAATGGGTCGCATGCTTGTGACATCGGGTTAAGTCCCCGATCAGGCTGAGCCTCAATGAGCAGGAGCGCCCGCCACGCTTGTTCACCCCAGTTTCGCACCATGCTGGAGTCAGAGTGGGTTGATGCTCAGTCAAAACTGGGGGCTCCTCCAAATTATTCTACGGCCTAGGGTGCACTATGAAGCAGACTCCAAGAAAGGAACCCGAAAAGCCACAAGGAACCTCATGGAACCTGGCTTTGGAGTTCCATGTTCATTCACTCCATGTGGATCTTGTCCTATGACAGAGTGGTCACCCCAGAGCTGACCCTCAGTCACAACTGGGTGCTCGGAAGGGCCGCGAGGTTCGGCCCATGACTTGCGGTGTCCGAGTCCCGAGGCTTGTTTTCAATGGCTGCTATCTGCTTAGCCTAGCCCGGGTCATGAGTCATGGACTTGGATGCGTGATCAAGTAGCCCAAGAAATTGAGAGGTGTCTGGTTTCTGGTTGGTGCTCTTTGCAACCGCGGATGCACAGGACGGTCTTGCAAGACTCTTTGGTGGGAAGGCCCCTCCACTTGATGGAAAGGGGTATCTCAAAACCGGGGCCCTAACCGGTGCCCTTGGATGTATTTTGGGCCAGTTGAAACACCACCTGTGGATGCATTTTTGTCCACGCCCGTTTTTGTATGCATGCTTGAAGTCTGAAGATGAACTCGCGTCCCGAGTTGGCCTTTGAATTTTCGGCGAATTCCATTTTCGAGGTAAACCAACAGTTTGTCTTTCCTGAAGTGAGTGGGGTCCTTCTGTTTCGGGGGCACCACTATCTTTAAGCACACCCCTCAGGTTGCCCAAATTGGTGGTTTGGATTGGGAGTTTGGACTAGTGGTTTGGGGAATTGAACCCTTGGGTCTTGTACAGGGTGGATGGTTCCCCTCCTTACCACCAAACCACCGGGCTCCAAACCAACACTTGGGGGGAAGCTGGTTGAGCACTGAAGTCGTGCCAGGCTCACTTGGCCAGCGTGAGGGCCCACGGCGCCAGTGAGGAGGAGGCAACTGGTAACTGGGCGAAGGGCTGAACCACCCAACCCTCTTGACACCCCCGTTTTTTACAGCCTCCCTTTGTTGACACCTTGTTTTTTGCAAGGGGTCTAGTAGTTCACTCCAATTTTCATGACAAAATGAGGACCGGCACCTCACTCGCCGAGTTTCTGGACCTACGCTTGTTGGGAAGACCGATTTTCAGGTAGCCCTCAATTGGTGGTTGGGATTGGTGGTTTGGGGGTTTGAACCCTGGTTCTTGTAGAGGGTCAAGGGGAAGCTGCCGCATCACCAGCAAGCCACCAATCAGCAATCAGAGGGAAGGTCAAACTTAGTAGTAAACGAAAAGTTTGGACTTTGCCTCACTAATCCATTTGAGAGACGGAATCTGCCAAAGTGGGCTTGACATCTGAGCAATCCGAGATTCTGTATTTTCATGTGGGGTGCCATAATTTTCGGAAGGATCCACATGTTTACCCACTTAAGTGGCTACACATTTTTTGGGATCGAAGCACTGTCTGTGGGGCATCTCCAAGAAAACGGCTCGCCTGTATGCAAATATCAGACATGCATTCGACACCCAGGCCTTTCCACCTTCCAAAGATTGGCCACCTCATGCCAGAAATGGGTTCTCAACTGCGATGCAACCAAGCGATTCTGTAGGGCTTTCCGTCCATGGGCTCAATCGGCCGTTGCCTATGCATGTTGCATCCCGCATCCAGCTTGTCGAGGCATGCGTTCTAACATGGAATATGAATGTTGTCCCCCGGGTCATCTCCCTTTTGAAGGGGACTATGACGATTTTGACCGTTTCTGCGTTAAAGTCAGAAACAGGGGGGGGGCCTTTGACCTACCACTTGAGGGGTGGCCTTGGGGCTAGTGGGACTGTCATGTTCCGTGGCTGGGAGTGGCCTGGGCGAATGTTGAAGAGCTAACGACTGGTCTGTAGTCATGCGTGCCCGCCGCTTTCCTTTCGCTGAAAGAGTGGCAGGACTTTAGAGGGGATCCAGCAGATGACTCACTTTGGGTGGGTACGGGCGTAATCCATCTTGTTTGGAGTGTATGAGCAACAACCTCTGCGGGGGCTGTTTACGTTTACTTATGGGGTCACGCGACAAGTGCTTGCTTCAAGACCTTCTTGCGTGCGCAAGGCCTTCAAGGATGCGACTGCGGCAAACGGTCGCGGGCTTACACTGAACTCAGCCCAAAGCCGAGTCGAGCTGTTGGTTTCCCTGTTTGGGCCCAAAACATATGGTCCTTAAAGACATGGTCTTTGGATGTTCATGATGTTCCCTCTTTGGTCCTCAAAGACGGGTCCTAAAAGATACGGTCTTTCGGTTCTGTCCATGTTTTGACGTCCGCAAAGGCCAACATTCGATTTCCAGTGAGGTCGATTTCGATGTCTGCTTGGGTCAGGCGGTCGCTCCGTGCGGTCCAAATCCTGTCGCTTAGTGCGGCGCAAATCCTGTCGCTTAGTGCGGCAGTCACTTTCACCTTCACGGGCCCGTTGAGCCCGTGTGGCCCGTTGAGCCCGTCGGGCCTGTTGGGCTTGTTGGGCCCGTTGGGGCTGTTGGGCTTGTTGGGCCCGTTGGGGCTGTTGGGACCGCTGGGGCTGTTGGGACTGCTGGGCCTGTTGGGACCGTTGAGCCCGCTGTGCCCGTTGGGCCCGTTGGGCCTTGCGTTGGGCTTGAGCCCGTTGGGCCCGTTGGGCCTGTTGAGCCTGTTAGGCCCGCTGAGCCCGTTCGGACCGCTGAGCCCCCTGCTCTGGCTCTTCGTCTTGGCTCGCTTTACTTTTTCTTTACAATAACTTACATGTGTTTAGACACGTGCCAAAAAGTGTGGTTTTACCTGCATCGCGGAAGTTCGCGGAAGGTTCGCGGAAGGGCGAGGCGGAAGACCGTTTTTGGAACAAGGAAGATGGGGTAAACTCTCATGTATATATGTATGTTATGTTATTGTATTTTAGGCTATGTTGAGTCATGTTATGTTATGTTATGTTATGTTATGTTATGTTATGTGTGTAGTGTTATGTATTTTTTGTATTGTAACATAGTTTATTGTAATGTAATGTGATGTACGCGTGTGCGTATGTTATGTATGTTATGTATGCTCTGTACGCAAGTATGTATGTTCTGCATGTATGTATGTAATGTATGTATGTATGTGTGTGTATGTATGTATGTATGTATGTATGTATGTACGTATGTACGTACGTATGTATGTATGTATGTATGTATTTATGTTATGTTGCGCTATGTATGTATGTATGTAGGTAAGAAAGTTGTATGTATGTATGTAATGTATGTTGTGGTATGTATGAATGTATGTATGTATGTACCTATGCTATGCTATGCTATGCTATGCTATGCTATGCTATGCTATGTATGTATGTATGTATGTATGTATGTATGTATGTATGTATGTATGTATGTATGTATGTATGTATGTATGTATGTATGTATGTATGTATGTATGTAATGTATGTATGTATGTATCTAATGTATGCATGTATGTATGTATGTATGTATGTATGTATAATATATGTAATGTGTATGTATATTATGTATGTATGTAATGCAATGTAATGTAATGTAATGTAATGTAACTTATGTATGTATGTATGCAATGTATGTATGTATGTATGTATGTATGTATGTATGTATGTATGTATGTATGTATGTAATGTATGTTGTATGTATGTATGCGTGTATGTAGTATGTATGTATGTATGTATGTATGTATGTATGTGTGTTGTGTTGTGTTGTGTTGTGTTGTGTTGTGTTGTGTTGTGTTGTGTTGTGTTGTGTTATGTATGTATGTAAGTATGTAATGTATGTTTTGGTATGTATGTATGTATGTATGCATGTATGTATGTACGTATATGTGTATGTATGTATGTATGTATGTATGTTTGTATGTTTGTATGTTTGTATGTTTGTATGTTTGTATGCATGCATGCATGTATGTGTGTGTGTTAATGTAGTGTAATGTGTGTAATATATGTAACGCAGCACAGTTCATTTGTGTAATGTAGTGTATGTATGTATGTATGTATGTATGTATGTATGTAAGTCTGTGTATGTGTGTATGTATGTATGTATGTATGTTTGTTTTGTATGTATGTATTTATGTATGTATGTATATATGTAAGTCTGTGTATGTGTGTATGTATGTATGTATGTATGTATGTATGTTTGTTTTGTATGTATGTATGTATGTAGTGTGTAGTGTTATGTAATGTAATGTAATGTAGTGTAATGTAATGTCGTGTATGTATGTATGTTATGTATGCTATGTACATATGTATGTATGTGTGTTATGTGAGTATGTATGTAATGTATGTATGTATGTATGTGTGTGTATGTGTCTGTGTATGTATGTATGCTATGCTATGCTGTGCTGTGCTATGCTATGCTATGCTATGCTATGCTATGCTATGCTACGCATGTATGTATGTATGTATGTATGTATGTATGTATGTGTGTGTATATGTATGTATGTATGTATGTATGTATGTATGTATGTATGTATGTATGTACGCATATTTGTATGTATGTATGTATGTATGTATGTATGTATGTATGTTTGTATGCATGCATTATCAGTCTGTGTATGTGTTAATATAATGTAATGTGTGTACTAGATGTATTGCAACGCAGTTCATGCGTGTACTGCAACTTAATGTATGTTTGTGTTGGGCCCGTCGGGACCGCTGGGCCCGTTGGGCCCGTTGAGCCCGTTGGGCCCGTTGATTCCGTTGAGCCCGTTGGGCCCGTTAAGCCCGTTGGGCCTGTGGGCCCGTTGGGAGCTTTGGCCTGTTGAGTTCGTTGGGCCCATTGAGCGGGTTGGGATTGTCGAGCCCATTGAGCGCGTTGGGCCCGTTGATTTTATTGAACTGACCGGTTTAACACCTGGGTTCTGACTGCACTAAGTGACGGGTTTTTTGCTGCACTAAGTGACCTGTTTAACACTGGTCAGGCGGTCGCTCCGTGCGGTCCAAATCCTGTCGGTTAGTGCGGCGCAAATCCTGTCGCTTAGTGCGGCAGTCACTTTCACCTTCACGGGCCCGTTGAGCCCGTGTGGCCCGTTGAGCAGGCCCAACGGGCCCAACGGGCTCAAGCCCAACGCAAGGCCCAACGGGCACAGCGGGCTCAACGGTCCCAACAGGCCCAGCAGTCCCAACAGCCCCAGCGGTCCCAACAGCCCCAACGGGCCCAACAAGCCCAACAGCCCCAACGGGCCCAACAAGCCCAACAGGCCCGACGGTTGAGCCTGTTAGGCCCGCTGAGCCCGTTCGGACCGCTGAGCCCCCTGCTCTGGCTCTTCGTCTTGGCTCGCTTTACTTTTTCTTTACAATAACTTACATGTGTTTAGACACGTGCCAAAAAAGGTGGTTTTACCTGCATCGCGGAAGTTCGCGGAAGGTTCGCGGAAGGCGAGGCGGAAGACCGTTTTTGGAACAAGGATGATGGGGTAAACTCTCATGTATATATGTATGTTATGTTATTGTATTTTAGGCTATGTTGAGTCATGTTATGTTATGTTATGTTATGTTATGTTATGTGTGTAGTGTTATGTATTTTTTGTATTGTAACATAGTTTATTGTAATGTAATGTGATGTACGCGTGTGCGTATGTTATGTATGTTATGTATGCTCTGTACGCAAGTATGTATGTTCTGCATGTATGTATGTAATGTATGTATGTATGTGTGTGTATGTATGTATGTATGTATGTATGTGTGTGTATGTACGTACGTACGTATGTATGTATGTATGTATGTATGTATTTATGTTATGTTGCGCTATGTATGTATGTATGTAGGTAAGAAAGTTGTATGTATGTATGTATGTAATGTATGTTGTGGTATGTATGAATGTATGTATGTATGTATCTATGCTGTGCTATGCTGTGCTATGCTGTGCTATGCTATGTATGTAATGTATGTATGTATGTATGTATGTATGTATGTATGTATGTATGTATGTATGTATGTATGTATGTATGTATGTATGTATGTATGTATGTATGTATGTATGTATGTATGTAATGTATGTATGTGTATGTATGTATGTATGTATGTATGTATGTATGTATGTATGTATGTATGTATGTAATGTATGTAATGTATGTATGTATGTATGTAATGTATGTATGTATGTATGTATGTATGTATGTATGTATGTATGTATGTATGTATGTATGTAATGTATGTATGTATGTATGTATGTATGTAATGTATGTATGTATGTATGTATGTATGTATGTATGTATGTATGTATGTATGTATGTATGTATGTATGTATGTATGTATGTATGTATGTGTGTATGTATGTATGTATGTATGTATGTATGTATGTATGTATGTATGTATGTATGTAATGTATGTATGTATGTATGTATGCGTGTATGTATGTATGTATGTATGTATGTATGTATGTATGTATGTGTGTTGTGTTGTGTTGTGTTGTGTTGTGTTGTGTTGTGTTGTGTTGTGTTGTGTTGTGTTATGTATGTATGTAAGTATGTAATGTATGTTTTGGTATGTATGTATGTATGTATGTATGTATGTATGCATGTATGTATGTACGTATATGTGTATGTATGTATGTATGTATGTATGTGTATGTTTGTATGTTTGTATGTTTGTATGCATGCATGCATGTATGTGTGTGTTAATGTAGTGTAATGTGTGTAATATATGTAACGCAGCACAGTTCATTTGTGTAATGTAGTGTATGTATGTATGTATGTATGTATGTATGTATGTCTGTGTATGTGTGTATGTATGTATGTATGTATGTTTGTTTTGTATGTATGTATGTATGTAGTGTGTAGTGTTGTGTAATGTAATGTAATGTAGTGTAATGTATGTATGTATGTATGTATGTATGTATGTATGTATGTATGTATGTATGTATGTATGTATGTATGTATGTATGTATGTATGTATGTATGTATGTATGTATGTATGTATGTATGTATGTATGTATGTATGTATGTATGTATGTATGTATGTATGTATGTATGTATGTATGTATGTATGTATGTATGTATGTATGTATGTATGTATGTATGTATGTATGTATGTATGTATGTATGTATGTATGTATGTATGTATGTATGTATGTATGTATGTATGTATGTATGTATGTATGTATGTATGTATGTATGTATGTATGTATGTATGTATGTATGTATGTATGTATGTATGTATGTATGTATGTATGTAATGTAATGTATGTATGTATGTATGTATGTATGTATGTATGTATGTATGTTTGTATGCATGCATTATCAGTCTGTGCATGTGTTAATGTAATGTAATGTGTGTACTAGATGTATTGCAACGCAGTTCATGCGTGTACTGCAACTTAATGTATGTTTGTGTTGGGCCCGTCGGGACCGCTGGGCCCGTTGGGCCCGTTGAGCCCGTTGGGCCCGTTGATTCCGTTGAGCCCGTTGGGCCCGTTAAGCCCGTTGGGCCTGTGGGCCCGTTGGGAGCTTTGGCCTGTTGAGTTCGTTGGGCCCATTGAGCGCGTTGGGCCCGTTGATTTTATTGAACTGACCGGTTTAACACCTGGGTTCTGACTGCACTAAGTGACGGGTTTTTTGCTGCACTAAGTGACCTGTTTAACACTTGGGTTCTGACTGCACTAAGTGACGGATTTTTTGCTGCACTAAGTGACCTGCTGACCCTAGTCTGCTTGCTCCCTGCAAAGTCATGGGACATACGTTCAACGCGTTCCACTCGATAAATTGGTGCCGACCGCTTGGGCAATCATTCCGGTGGCCGAAAGCAACCCGACTTAGCTAGAACCCATTCAATTGAATGGGGTCACACAAAAAAGGCCAACCTTTGACATGTGAGGGACTGGCAGTGGATATGCCATGTAAATAACCTCGTATATCTTCTTGGACTGTCACGCAAGCATGTAAAACGAAAAGAAAGAAACCAAATGATACCGCTTATTGCTGGCTCTGCTTGTTCCCACGGCTGTCGAGCCAAGGCTACATTGAGTGTGCCTCTGAAGGCGGCAACTGCTCCTGTGCAGACGGGGTCGTGCTTTACGGCCGGCCAACCTTGGGTCTGTCTCTCAGCGACGCGGTGAGTTTGCCGCGGCTTCAATCAAGAGGGGTGTGTCTTCTTCTAGGGGACCCCCTAACAAGGATACCGTACCCATAAACAAAGACACCCGGCACATAAGACCCCTCTTGTCTTCCATCCCCACAGCCAGACAGCCAGACGTCCATTTCTCTCGGCTAAAGGCCTAGCATCCAAGCAATACAACTGCGCAAACCAGGATTCACGTCAATACCGCGACAACCTGACCAAGTCGGGTAGTAAACCAACACGTCACACAGCCATGCGGATGCTGGTCAAACTGCAGGATTGGGTCTTGCTAGGCATGTTATGGTTTGCCACTCGCTTCAACTTCAGGCACGGGAATGACAATGTTTGAGCAGAGCCGAGCATGAATTGGGGCTTCTTGGATTTCTCGTGTTGGCTTTGAGATGGCCATTTGACATGAACTTAAACTTGGTTTCTCTTAATGGTGGACCCCATCTTTGTGTCGTTTCACAGGACAACCAAAAAGAGGCACTTCATGGTAGGGGGTCCAGTACTTCGAGAGGCCTGCCGAACAGCAATCCATTGGCAGCTGAGGGGAGTGGCGGGAGCTGCGGGTTGATGGCTCGACGCTCTGCACCGCAACTCTGCTGGGGTCCTAGTTTTTGAGTTTTTGGGGAGGCGATGTGGCTATGGGGCATAACCTATGGCTCCATTTTGGGGTGGATGAACATCTATTTGCCACCTGTGATATCCACTACAGGGTTTGGACCCACAGGCATGTGGGCAGGTGCCAGTCCTTGCCATTGGGGCTGCAGGAAGTCCCAGCCTGCGGATTAGGGATCCCCCGATTTGAACAACCCAGATTCGCTCCAAATGATTGCGATTTTTCATTAGGGGCATTACGTGTTCTCCGGGGCCGCTCCGGTTTTGGGGAAAAGGAGGGCACTTCTTCTTTGTCGACTTGGGCTATTATCTTGGGCGTGACCAACTAGGTACTTGCGGCTGTTTGGAACAAGCGTGGGACGCTCTCTTGGCCTCTCCCCAAGGGAAATCAGGAATTCTTGGGTCACTTTCTGCGACACCAAGAAAACTGCCCCCTGGACATCGATAAAGTCGAATGACCCATTCCAGCATTTCTATCAACCGACCCAAACCAAGCGCCCTCCCCTCCCACCAACAGACATGGAAGTTCACAGGCTCCCTTTCCTGGAGGAACATTGTTTTCCATGAGGATCCATAAGGTGTGTGTGTGTGTGAGTGTGTGTGTGTGAGTTTGTGCGAGTGCATTTGTCTGCGTTTCTTCCGCGGGGAAATGCAGGGGCTCATCTGCCTTGACACTGCCTTATGCGCCATTTAGAAGTGTGCCGCTTGGGAATATGAAAGAACAATCGCGGAATATTGCATGCAGCCATGGGCTTTCCAGACAAGAGCCCTTTGAGATGTTGGTGGTTCCCCTAGTTGTTCGAATCGGTGCCCCCAGTACAGAAGGGGTGTCTCAAAATGCGAGGGTCCTGTTTGGCTTCCCTTTGGATGCCAACAAAACTGAGTTTCACCCTTTGGAGAAACCCTGGAAATGAGATCCATCTTGAAGTTTAGCTGTGAGAGGAAAGAACGTCATGCCAGAGCGCTCAGCGCGGGAAGCAGGGCTCAGAAGGCCTTTCAAGTTGAAATTGCGAGCTCAGCTTTGGGTGATACAAGCTCACCATGATGATGGTCCTTTACTTCAGTGTCCCGCAATGCCGGGTGAACGCAGTGACGTTACATGTCCCATCTAAGTTCATTTTGGCTTTCCATTTGGGAAGGGGAACTGCGCCAAAGCCAATGCGCAAGTCAAAGGATGGACGGATCGTGTGCCACGTACCATGCATGTTCACTGTTTGGCTTCTTTGGCTCAGTTCCAATTGCCCATGGTTCCAGTTTTTGTCTTGGAGCTTTGGGGTCTGGGTTTGTCATTTGGCAGACCCATTAGGTCCCTTAATTTATCTTTGGCAAAGTGCGGGTCGATGAATTAGGGTGCACATATGTCACCGCCCCATTTTATGTGTCATTGACCCCGGATAAATACACCCGATTGCCACTAACAGGGGACACCTCCCCGCCCTATGGGCGGTAGACAGTCGCCCGTACATCACTAACCACATGCCGTCGCTCGAGGTTCGACACCACCCCGGCGCCGGAAGGGGAGACCAACGTGTGCCGGTGTTATTCCCTGAACTGGCGCAGGCCTCAGGTTTCCCCGTGTTTCTGGGGGACATGGGGCCGAGATCTAGGATTCTCACAACGCAAAGAGGCTCAATAATATTCCCATGTCCTCCTGGGAAATCCTGGGGGAACAAGTCAAAACAAAAAATGACAATGGCTTATATGAACCTGTGGGCCATTATGCAACAACTAGGAATCATACCAGGGGTTCACATCCGAAGGTGGACATTCAGCCAAAAGAAGGATTCCAGCTCTCCGCTGTGGGGGTGGAGGGTGGGGTAGGGGTAAGTTCGAGCGATTTCTGCGGGTTCCCGATTTCCGCTTGGGAATTCAATCTTTTTTGTTCAGATGAATTCTCCTTATCCTTAATCGGATTAGTAATTTCGAGCCTCCGCTTCCTTTGGAGCATGAGTCATGGCTTTCCTTTTTGGATAATAGTTTCAGCTTAGCTCGGGGTCACCCTGTACTTCCCCCTACCATAGCCTCAAAGTTATGGCGATCAGAGGCACATCATTCTGGATAAATCTCACCTCTCTGGCCTTTCATTTGAAGTCTGCACAAGCCCTGCTTGCAGATTCAGATTGCCTGCGGCCCGTCTTGAATTCTGCGCGACGGATTCATCAGCATTCCTTTGAAAATGTTTGGATCCCTTGCTTCCATTTTGGTGTTGTTAAAAAAGGAAACCAAATGGAAACCTCCACTTTGGAGGGTCCCTATGGCAGCCACACCCTGGCCCCGAGGTGCAATAGAAACAACGTGGACGCCATGGTCTTCGACCCAAGCCACCGGCGCGGCCCCAAGTTGTCCAT